GTCAAGCCCGAGGACCGTTGGTCAGCTCTTCATGCTTACAGGAAATCTAAGGGACTCTGTTTCATTTGTGGAGAACGTTGGGCGAGAGATCATCGATGCAAACAGGAAGTTCAGCTGCATGTAGTACAAGAGATGTTGGAATATGTGCAGAATATGCCAGCAGAATCAAGTGACACTGAAGCTGAGAGTATTGGAGAAGTCAATGCGATTTGCATTTCAGCGGCAGCATTGGGAGATCCATCTGTTCCGGCGATTGCAACTATGAAACTGACAGTACAGACAAGGGCACAAGCTCACGTTCCTAGTTGACTCGGGGAGCACTCACTCCTTCATGGATGGTGCTGCTGTTGCTCAAATTAAGGGAGTTTCTGATATGCCTGTTAAAATGGTTAAGGCTGCTAATGGGAATTTAGTTCCCTGTAGCCAGCAGCTGCTGTCAGGATCTTGGTCAACAGATGGGCACAAGTTCACCAATGACTTTAAGATTTTTCCTCTGGGATCTTATAATAGAATTCTGGGTTTAGATTGGTTGTCCACCCATAGCCCCATGCAGTGGACTGGGCTGAACATTGGTTATCTTTTGACCTGAATGGTACTACTGTCACTTTACTAGGTGAAGATGCTACTCCTAGCTTCTTGGCCATGATTGAACTGTCATCGCTGCTCTATTTTAAAAGTACAGAACAAACTGAGTTGCCTGTGGAAACTAAAGAAATTCTCAACACTTACGCTACTGTGTTTGAAGCTCCTTCTGGCCTTCCACCTAGAAGAAAATATGATCACACTATCCCACTCATCCCAAGAGCTTCACCGGTTTCTATCAGACCATACAGGCTTCCACCTGCCCTCAAGGATGAGATGGAGAAGCAGGTTAAGGAGATGTTGGATTCGGGCATCATCAGACATAGCACTAGTGCTTTTTCGTCCCCCATGATTATGGTTCAGAAGAAAGACAAAACCTGGAGACCAGCATTTGACTACAGACACTTAAATGCTATAACTGTAAAGAGCAAATACCCTATTCCTGTCATTGACGAGCTGCTAGATGAATTAGCTGGATCCTGTTGATTTTCTAAGCTCGATCTCAGGGCTGGGTACCACCAAATTCGTTTGGCTCCTAGTGAAGAACATAAAACAACTTTTCAAACACACTTTGGGCACTTTGAGTTCCTGGTTGTGTCTTTTGGGCTGACTGGTGGTCCAAACACCTTCCATTTTACCATGAATGACATTCTGGCCCCTTGCCTCAGGGAATTTGCCATATCATTCTTTGACAATATCTTAATTTTTAGTGCAACCTATGCTCTCCATTTGGAACACCTGGCAAGAGTTCTGCAGTTGTTAAAACAACACCAGTGGAAAGTGAAGTTGTCAAAGTGTGCTTTTGCTCAAACTCAAATCAGTTATTTGGGCCACATCATTAGCAGTCAAGGGGTTGCAACTGATCCTGAAAAGATTACAAGCATTCAAGAGTGGCATGTGCCTGTGTCTGCTAAGGATGTCAGAGGATTTTTTGGTCTGGCTGGTTATTACAGAAAATTCATAGCTCGTTATGGTCTCATTAGCAAACCTCTTACCAATTTGCTCAAGAAAGGGGTGCCATTCCACTGGACAAGTACTGAACAACAAGCTTTTGCAGCTCTCAAGCAAACACTGATATCAGCACCCGTACTGGCTCTTCCAGACTTCTCTAAACAATTTGTCATTGAAACTGATGTGTGTGACATAGGAGTGGGTGCAGTGTTAATGCAGGAAGGGCACCCACTGGCGTATGTGAGCAAGGCTCTGGGTCCAAGGAATCAAATGCTATCGGTTTATGAGAAATATCTGGCAATTTTACTGGCTGTGGAACAATAGCGTCAGTATCTGCAATTATCTCAATTCATTATCAAAACAGATCAACGCAGTTTAGCCAGTTTGTCTGAACAACGACTACATACCAAGTGGCAGCAGAAGGCCCTGACTAAGCTGTTAGGATTACAATACAGTATTGTATATAAAAAGGGAGTGGAAAATCATGTTGCGGATGCTCTGTCCAGGAAGCCACACACTGATGCTGAAACGATGCCTAAACTATTCCCCATATCCACTATTCAACCAGCCTGGCTAGATGATATTGTGCACAACTACACTCAGGACAAGTTTTGTTCTGATCTTCTGCAGAAAATTGCCTCTTCTGGTGGACATGACGGCAAATTTTCCTTGAAATCTGGGCTGTTAAGGGTTGACAAATGCATTTGGGTAGGTGCAGATCCCAAGTTGCAGCACACAATTGTTAGTGCTTTCCATGACAGTCCAATTGGTGGACATTCAGGTTTCCCAGTCACGTTCAAACGTGTCAGGCAACTGTTCCGTTGGCAAGGTATGCGCAGTTGTATTAAGCAATATGTCTCGAACTGCACCATATGCCAGCAAGCAAAACTTGAACGAATTCCATATCCAGGTTTACTACAACCCCTGCCTATCCCTGACTTACCTTGGGAAATGGTAACTATGGATTTTGTCGAAGGGCTACCAGTTTCTGGGCAATATAACTGTTTGATGGTGATCATTGACAAACTGTCCAAGTATGGACACTTCATTCCCTTGCACCATCCGTTTACTTCAGTTACACTAGCTTAAGCCTTCCTCAACACAGTATACCATTTGCATGGGATGCCTCTCTCTATAGTTTCTGATCGAGATCGCATATTCACTAGCCAGTTCTGGAAGGAACTCTTCCAGCGAGCTGGGGTTATGCTGCGGATGAGTACAACACGCCACCCTCAAACTGATGGACAGACGGAGTGAGTTAACCAACAAGTGGAATGCTTCCTGCGATGTTTTGTCAGTGCTCATCCCTCTCGCTGGGCTAAATGGATTCCATTGTGTGAGTATTGGTACAATACCAATTGGCACTCGGCTACGGGCAAGACTCCCTTTGAGATCATCTATGGTCATGAGCCTCGTCACTTTGGGTTGACCGCAGAGAGTACAGTGCAGTCTGCTGATCTGCAACAGGGGCTTGAGGATCGCCAAGTGATTATCGGGTCAGTACGTCAACATCTGTTGCGTGCGCAACAGCGCATGAAAACACAGGCCATAAGCATCATTCTGAACGTGTGTTCGAGGTTGGGGACTCTGTTTTTCTGAAACTGCAGCCATACCTTCAGACAACGGTTGCTCCCAGGGAGAATCACAAATTGGCCTTCAAATTCTATGGACCTTTTGAAGTGTTGGAGCGTGTTGGTGAGGTAGCTTACCGCTTGGCATTGCCAGTATCCAGTCATGTGCACCCAGTATTCCATGTCTCTCTCCTGTGGAAGGTGCTCGGCCCAGCTCATGAGGTATTGACACAACTTCCCTCTCCAGAAATACAATTTTCAGTTCCCGAGCAGGTTCTGCAACAGCGAGTGGTGCGTCGCGGATCCAATACTCTGGTGCAAGTGCTGGTGAAGTGGAGCGACTCTCCGATGGAAATGGCAACCTGGGAGGACAAGGTACAGCTCAAGCAGAAGTTTCCTAGAGCACCGGCTTGGGGGCAAGCCGTCTCTAACAGGGGAGGGATTGTCAGCAACAGCGATCAAGATACAGAAGTAGCAGAGAACCAAGCACCAGGAATGGGCCGGCCCAAGAGACAGCCTCGCCTACCGGCTCGGCTGGCTGGCCCGGAATGGGCCCACGTGGGCAGTATACTTATGCCTAGTGATAGCGTGTGAGTGGCTGGCGAACGACTGGCAGGCTATCTAACTTTCCCCTTCGTGTTGTAACGGATAATCCTTCCTCCTCCTTCAATGCCCTCTTGATGAACTCGTGAATTGTAGCTCGATCTGGCGATAATGGAGGCGAGTTGAGTGAATTGTTGATTGTGTGCTAACAGTGTACAACATATGAAAATGACCAGGCGCGCCAAGCAGCACCACGTGGTTGAATAGTTATCGAGGAGCTGGCCCCTTTGATCCACGCTCGTATTGCTCCTAGGGTCCGTGCAGGGAGGATGATGGCGTCTGGCCTCCAAAACTATGTCTAGGCTTTGGATATTGGACCGAGCCTCAACTACGGGGAGGCGGGAGCTACTGCAATATCTACAGCTATGGTCAGCGTTGCTTGCTTATCGTGCAACTCAATCATGGGGTCACTGATGTGGTCAGATATACATGAGAGCTTGATGGAAACTTCTCGGCAAGGACTGCATATGCCATGAAGTTTTTGGGGTCGATTCATTGCCTTGACGTCGAATTTTAGGTGCAAAAGTAGGGCTCCGCTGATAGCATCTCCACTAGGGCCCCCAGGACGCCCCCAAGCCTCTTTTTTTAGCACCGGCAGTAAAAAACATTCCAGTCAGGCTCCCAACACCTCGATTTGCGCCGGTTTTAGCG